CATCATTAGCTTTAATGGTTAGTGCAAGAATTTGAATAGTTGTATTAACTGGATTTCCTTGTATATGTTTAGAAACTATACTGTCATAGACATGAAAATATTTTTACCTATCCCTTTTGAGGATGAACGTGACACCGTTCCTCTTGAATTTGTCAATCCTGGCATAATAAGCCATGTGATTTGGATTCAAAATCGCCAACACCAGTTCATTTCAACTCATGAGTGCACATCAATCTTTAGGCATTTTATTTCATTTTTGTCAACTTCCAATTTTCCTAGATTTGTACCTTATACATTCCAAGTTGTGATTATTAGTGGATTTTAACAATTTTAATGAGATTTGGTATTGTTTTAGCAAATATGTATGTCAGATTTGGAGTTAAGGAACAAAACACGACTTCTTTACCTCGAGAAATTAATGTGAATTATGATTTGGACTAAAGAGAATTCTTCTTATGGAAATCCTTTTTTTTTAAAAGGAGTGACTTATCCTTATAACTCATTTAATTTTCACAACCATCCTGTGAAACAGGTACTATTTATTAGTAAACAAACAGCACTTCTTATATGCCAGGCACTAAATGTATATTAACCAACATAGTCCTTGTAATAATTCTGAGTAGGCACTATTGTCATCATGTTGTGGTAAGGAAACTGAGGCACGGGGAGATTAAGTAATTTGATAAATCTGAAAGTAAATGATGCTAGTATATTTCGGCAGAAGAACTGCTGTTAAGACTCCGTGTGCAATATTTTTAATATCTACCAGCTACTGAGTGGCAAGTATTTTGTTTACAAATTCTCATTCAATTCTCCCAATCAGCTATTAAGGTAGCGATTATACCCTAATTTTACACATACACAGACAGGAGGAATGTGGCCAGTTAATGGTAGAGCTGTGATTTGACCCACAAAGTAACCCCAAACTTCTGCTTTTAACCAGGCTCAGGAGCCACCAAAACTGGATCTCAGTTGGAGGGAAAGGAATGACAGTTTTATTAAGAAAAGGAAGCATGGACTTTTTTAAGGCCAAAATATTTCACTATATTATACTGCCTAACCATCACAAATAACAGATATAAAAGTGAAAAATCTCTTAGAAATTGGCCTGTAGATCATAGCCAATGGAACAAAAACAACATAAAGAGGACAAAAGGGTTTTCTAATGCTTTTTATGACTGCGGTTATAGCACATAAAAGAAGCTTGAACTGTGAAGAAATGCATAGCTAAATTTGGGGTTACCAAAAGTCATGCTTTTGCTACCCTCTTTATAATGCAGTATATGTGTATACTCCTGGCTACTTATGTTGTAGCATAATGACAGAAGGCCTATACTCCCTGTAATAGTGTTATTGAGGGAAAATTATTAAATTCCTTCTCAGGAAGGTTTGAAAATAAGTTTCCAATTTGATAGGCAATGATTCCCAGCAATTTTACAGACAGTGGACTGGGTGTTCTTCCATAATATAATATAATATAAATCACTTTCCATGATGTGATCAGCCAATCAGTTGAAAGGGGAATATCCTTGTGGGTGTGGCCTGACTCCAGTACATAAAGGGATGTCCTGGCCAAACTCACTCTCTGGACTCTCACTCTTGTGATCACTTGCCCCTGATTATTGGAACATAAGCCAGCAGTGGTCTCTAGCCTGCTGCTTGACCTACAGATTTAGGACTTCCCAGTCCTCACAATGATGTGAGCCATTACCTTGACACAGCCTGTCTCTAGAGTCCTGGTGGTAGAGTGGTGATGCTCATAGTGTAAGCCAGCAACTTGAAATGACCAGCAGTTCCTCGGAAGAAAGATGTGGCTTTCTTGCCCATAGCAAGTTATAGTCTCGGAAACCCACAATGACAATTCTATCCTGCCCTGTAGGGTCGCTGTAAGTTGGCATTGCCACAATGGCAGGTTTTTGTTTGTCTGTTTAAAATATATTTATATGTTTCACTGGTTTTGCTCCTCTACAGAACCTACACTAAGAGGTAGGCTCCTTCTGAAATTGGAAGAATTAACTGGATAATTTTTCAGTTTCTCCTAACCTTCATGGGATAAAGATTTGTGTCAACTTGGCTGGGCCCAGGATTGTCAGGGGTTTGGGAGTTAAGACATAGTAATCCCCATGAGAATATCCCCTGGCGGGTGTAGCCTGATACGAATGTTAAGTGAACGTTGTGAAAAAAACTTGCTTGCTTTTTGCTTTTGTCTAGATTCTGCATCTAAGCATGGACTTTTGGTTCATTGGAACTTGAGCCAGTGGCTTTCCATAATGTCTGCTTGTCCCGGAAGTCACTAACAGCATGCCATTTTACCCGTCGACTTTAGAATCATTCACCTCTGAAGCCAGAGCCTTTTGTGTGAGCTGCTGATCCTGGGTTCGTCAGTCCTTGTTGTTACATGGGTAATCTAACACAGATACATGAAACTTGCCTGCCACTACAACTATGTGATCCATTTCCTTGATATACACCTATCTATCTATCTATAAATACACACACACACATGTGTGTGTATGATTCCGATGCATACTGACACTACGTAGTTTGGAGACTGAAAATTTTTACTGGAGTGGACAGCCTCATCATTCTCCAGAGGAGAAGCTGATGGGGTTGAACTACTGATCTTGCAATTAGCAGCCCAACATACAACACACTACACTCCCAGGACTCCTTCATATATGATATAAATATGCCAACACACCATACCTTTGTTTTCAAATGTAAAGAAATGTTTGAAATGATTGATTCTACCTAGTAGGAAACCTGAAATACTGTGCAAACTATTTTAGAATGTTTGAAATTTCTGGGTAAACATTTTGTGCAATGGAGAAAATGTATAGTTATCATATTGAAACATATGTAGTTATAACTACCTTAAAATAGGAGGGGGATTCAAAATTTCACTGTCTTTTAATTTTTCTACATACTTTTTGAAGTCCCCTACTAGTATTAACTATACACAGAGAATTTACTCACGCGTCTGCTCAGAAACAAACATAAAATAACACAAGAACATGAAGTTGCATGGTAACATAAGACAACCTCGGCAGAAAACTGAAATTGTACTTACGTTTGAAAGAGTTTCAAGTAGGTATCACTTTAGCATAATAAGGGGAGAAAACATTCTTTATTTTCCATGTGTCACCATGATGGTCTCAGTTGCCTAGAGATGCCAAATCCAGAGTACCCCAAAGGGGTGCCTTTAAAGTAGAGAAATTTATTTTCTCAGTTTCTAAAATCTAAAAGTCCAAAGCAGGGTTTCAAATGTACAGACTCTCTCTTTGTCATGATCCCGGGCACTGCTTGTCCCCTGGCAAGCCTTGGCTTGCAGAAGATCTTCCTTGGCATCTGTCTTTCCTCGTATGTGTATTTCTGTCACTTTTACTCTTTTTCGTAACTGAAAGTGATGGGATTTAGGATCACCCTTACTCTGGTATGATCTCATTAACATAACAAAATAAAACCCCTGTTACCAAACAGGGTGATATTCACAGATATAAGGGTGACGATTTCGAGACATATTTTAGGGAAGTGGGGCACAATTGGATATATAACAATGACTCAATGAGTTTCCCAAGTGATCTTATTTAATACTCATTAACGTTAAAAAATTAATATATCAGTCTCATTTTACTGGGGAAGAAACTGAAGTGTAGGGAGGTTATGTTACTTGACCAAGCCTGCATAGCTAATAAGCAACAGAACTGTAATTAAACTTTAAACCCAGTGAGTCCTTCTCCAGAGCACAAGGTCTTAATTATGATGCCACGCTGCCTCTGTAGGCGAGAACGTATTTTTACCACCAAGAATAAAGCAGGCTTTTCAGATGCTGGCACAAAGTGAAGGGTTTTTTAAATGATTTTCAAACCAATGAACCCTTCAATCATTCTGATCCCACTTGGGGTTTTTTGGGGGGTGGTTCTCTGACTCTTGGAGCTGACTGGATCCCCCTGATTTGCTGCTGATTTCTCCAAGTCCCTGTTGGACCTGCTACCTGTCTTATGGGACCCCTCTCTGCAACGACTGTGGTATCAGGTACAAGAAGTATGGTACCCCGTGCTTCACCTGCTGGTTGGTGCCCAGGAAAAGTGTGCAGCCCAAGAAGCTCTGTGGAAGATGTGGGGTATCCTTGGGCTCCCACCAATTCCCACCTCAGGAAGGACCTGGGAACCCTAAATGGAAGATTCTGGCCCCAGACCCCAGAACCCCTCAGGGAGAAGAAAGGACAGAGGCCTGTGTCCCGGGGAACGTGAAACCCCTCCTCAATCCCTGCTCCAATCATTGTGGGCTGAAGCCCACCTCCAGAAATGCTTGAAGTAGCAGCAATGGTTGCTGGAACAATAGTGACAATAAAGAGTTAAGCATCTCTGAGGAAAAAGGAAAAAAAAAGTTGTTGAAGTTCACATCAACATAGCATTCCAGCAGTTTTGCTGCTCGTGTACACGGTCATTTCAGAAATCACTAGAATGTTCTAGAACATTGTCAGTCATGTTTTTAAGCCCTTAGACGCCCACTGTATACTGTTCTAGCATCAAGTAAGACATCAAAAATGTGATTGCTCTTGCTTACATTTTAGGGGGAGAGGGTGGGGGGTTTTAAAGACATTTGACTCAAAGGATCAGTCAGCTCCGAACTGATTGTTGAAATGGTGCCATGGCCACCATACCGTTGTTTAAGAGAAAGAAATAAAATCAGTAACATACAACAAACCAAAACCCAGATCCACTGCCGTTAAGTCCATTCCAACTCACAGTGAGTAGACTGTCCCATTGGGTTTCCAAGACTGTAAATCCTGGTGTAAGCAGACTGACACAGCTCTCTCCTAGAGAGTAGCTGCTGGGTTTGAACCCTCACCTCTCAGTTAGAAGGTGCGTGCTTAGCCACTGCCCCACAACCTTGCAACCACTGTCTGACTGCCTAAGCTTCATCAGCCTTCATGTTCTCAAGCAGGACTCACAAAGAAGCAAGCCAAGGGTAGCACAAAAGAATTACTGCAAATATAAGCATGATACATGATTTTTAATACTATGAAACATACATCAATGCATTGTACAGAGCAAATTCTGTTAGTCTCTGTCTTTGAAAGCTTTCAACAACAAGTCTGCTGCTAGCCCCGGAGACAGAGCCCCACTGAGAACCCTTCTTTCCAGAAGAGGAATCTGTTCGCGCACAGTGGGGTGTGTCCTGAAGTGTTCTAGCACATTTTCCTGGATGAGATGCCACATCCAGACCTTCTGTTGCTTCTGTCGCTTGGTGGCCAGCTCCCCACTGGTGAGCATCAGGTCCCGGAACTCTTGCATTTTATCCCACATCTCCGTGATCCCCTCTCCACTTCTGGAAGAAATACGAATTACCTATGGAAAACAGAAGCAGCAGACCACTTAACTTAAAAATGATAGAAAAGGGTTTTTAATGAGGAACTCGGAGAAGCACCAACTACATTTTAAGTCTTTGGAAATAGTCAAGTAAGGATGTATACTGGTACAGATAGGAACTGGAAACACAAGGAATCCAGGGCAAATGAACCCCTCAGGACCACCGGGAGGGTGGAGGGAAGGTGAGGGAGAAAGGGGAAACAGATTATAAGGATCTACATATAACCTCCTCCCTGGGGGACAGACAGAGGAGAAGTGGGTGAAGGGAGATGTCAGACGGTGTAAGATATTACAAAATAATAATAATTTATAAATTATCAAGGGTCCATGGGGGAGGGGGGAGTAGAGAGGGGAAAAAATGAGGAACTGATACCAAGGGCTCAAGTAGAAAGTAAATGTTTTGAGAATGATAAGGGAAACAAATGTACAAAAGTGCTTGGCACAATCGATGGATGTACGGATTGTGATAAGAGGTGTATAAGGCCCCAATAAAATGATTAAAACAAAACAAAAAGCAAGGAGGCATCTTAAGCTGTGGCTAAGGAAACATGCTGAGAGTACAGACTGAGCTTAACTTTCCTGTACTAAGCACGTACACAGAACACCTAAGACATTGATTCAAGTTCCAATTTTTAGCCCAGGTAAGTTCCGTGTTTTATTTATTTATTTATTTTTTTAATTTTTTTTTTTTAATTGGGGCTCATACAATTCATCACAATACATACATCAATTGTGTAAAGCACATCTATACATTTGTTGCCCTCATCATTCCCAAAATTCGCTAGCCTCTAATTTTCCGTTTTCCCCCCTCCCGTTCCCTTCCTCCTCCCCTCTCCCCCATGCACCCCTAATACTTTATAAATTATTATTGTATCTTATATTACACTGTCCGGCGTCTCCCTTCACCCACCCCTCCGTTGCCCGTCCCCCAGAGAGGAGGCCACACGTAGCTCCCTGTGATCCATTCCCCCCTACTACATCCCCTTTCCCTTCTGGTATCGCCACTGTCACCCCTGGTCCTGAGAGGTTCCTCTGTCCTAGATTCCCTGCGTTCCCAATTCCCGTCTGTACCGCTGTGCATCATCTAGTCCAACCAGGTCTGCAAGGCAAAATTGGGGTCCTGGTAGTTGGGGGGAAGAAGCGTTCAAGAACCAGAGGAAAGTTGTGGGCCGTGTTTTATTTTAAGATGGCTTCTGCGGACTCCTAAACGCATGGTGGAGGAGCGCAATGCTGGGGAAATATCCCCGCGTCTTGAGCGTCAGAAAATGAGGCTAAGCTGAGAAACAGCCCCATCTTTCTATAATCATCTCCTGATTCAGCAAGTGGTAAGAGTCGGGCATCCATCATCTACATGTATCCAATAGCTCCAAATTCAACCAAGACAATGCAATTGGTTAAAATTGGGAGCAGAAGGTAAACCATGTCCTCATGTTCTCATTATAATCAATGCAGCTTATCCTTCAATAATATAGCAGCCTCCTGCAGATAAAGCTGTTCACGTGAACATTACAGCATCTCCTTGTTCTAAGAGTATTCTGGTTTTTCTTTCTTATTAAACGCCCTACCTGACCATCAGAGGAGGGGAAGCATCTCATCACAAGCCTTTCCTCTCTTTCCTCAAACGCCAGTCCAGATTACCATTGTTGCTCCACGTTCTTACTGCTCTAGAACCCCAATGCTGCTTCCTTTCAGAATGGATTTGCTATCACTTCCCAATGGCTCGAACCCAGCGTGAAGCACCCTGATCTATCAGCTCACATCGAGTTTTTGACATCGAGGCTGAAGGATTATATTTAAAACCATGACTGTACACTCTGGCGTTGTCATCATTTTAAAACGTGTAGTCTTCACATACAAGCCAAGACTGATTTTCTGTTGTGCCTGGGACTTACATTCGCTCTTAAAAGGCAGACTTCACAGTGGAAAAGCACAGAATAGATGGCAAACTAACCTTTGGTCTCCAGACTTCTGAACGCTTGCGGAGCAACTTCAGGGCACTCACATACTCTGCTTGGATCCTTCGAGCTGGAACCACCAAGTCCCCATCGGACTTCGTTACAGCAACCAGATCCGCCATCTCAATGATGCCCCTTTTGATGCCCTTCAGGGAAAAGGGAGAGCTATCAGAGACAGTTCATTTTACCATAACCAGCATAACAAGTGAGCGCAAAGATTTTCAAAGGCAAACACTTCATTAATTAACTTTTACTCTGCCTCTTCGTAAGCCGGGGTGAGAGGGACAAGGACTTGGCAGTAACTACTCTGAAACACACCACTAAAACTCAGTATGTATTTTTGTATCTATAATTTGTATATATCCATAAAACATGTGTTGTTGTTTCTGGGTACCACTGAGTAGGTTCCGACCCATAGCGAGCCCACGCACAACTGACTGAACCACTGCCTGGTCCAGCACGGTCCTTATAATGGCCCCTATTCTTGAGCACATTGTTACAGCCACGGTGTCAATTCATCTTCTTGAGAGCCATCATCTTTTTCGCTGCCCCTCTACTTTACCAAACATGATGTCCTTCTCCAGGACTGGGCTCTCCTGATGCTCAAAGTACGTAAGACAAAGTCTTGCCGTCTTGCCTCTAAGGAGCACTCGGATTGTGCTTCCTCTAAGACAGGTTTGTCTGTCCTTTTAGCAGTTCATGGTGCTTTCAATAGTCTTCTCCAGCACCCCAATTCACATGCATGAATTCTTCTTCCAACTGTCACATGCACATGAGGTGATTGACTGCACCAGGATTTAGGTCAGGCACACTTTAGTCCTCAAAGGAACACCCTTGCTTTTCAATACTCTGAAGAGGTCTTGTGCAGCCGACCTGCTGCGTTCATGAGCATTGATTGTGGCTCTAAGCATGACAAAATCCTTGACAACTTCAACCTTTTCTCCATTTATTATGATGTTACCTATGAGAGTTAAGGTTTATTGTGCCAACCTGGCCAATGCACACATGTGGGATTAATTGAAGGGCAGTTTAATTGAAGGCTGGAGAAATAAATAAGCCCAATGAAGTGTTCTGGAATTCCAATTCTTTTCAAGGTTATCCATAGTTCGGGTTATGATCCACCCAGTTGGATGCCTTGGCATAGTTAATAAGACACAAGTAAACGTCTTTCTGGTACTCTCTGCTTTCAGCCCAGACCCATCTGACATCAGCAATGATATCCCTTGTTCCACGTGCTCTTGTGAATGCAGTCTGCGTCTCTGGCAGCAACCTGCCATGGTACTGCTGTAAAATAGACACACAAGAGAATCTGCCTTGGATGCAGACATGTTAGCCAGTAATGTTTCTTTCCCTAATACTTTCATTAATATAATTTACAAAACAAAACAAACACAAGAACTTGGTACTTTTAGAGATGTATGGTCTATATTTTGGAAAAATAAAATCAGAAAAAAATTACCTGCAGTTCATCTCCTCCTGCTGGTGGCAGTAGTAAAACAAACATGTCGACCATGTCAGCCACAGCAAATTCTGACTGACCCACACCTGAAATTTTAAATCACAGCCATACACGAGAGTAATCAGCCATTTGTCTCCTCCTCTGCCTTGGCCGTCAGTTGCATTCCACGCCACCCCCTCACCTGGTGGTAACCATTCCACCTGGTGACCATTTGAAACATGCCATCTCTGGAGAATTTATTAAATGCCTTCAAAGGAGCAAGCCTGCTAATCTCCCGGCTCTCTGCTTTCCCTAGTCTTGGACCTAGAGAGGAGCTTGAGACGTCCATTCTCTCTACTCTCTCACTGCTCTTTCTGGGCCCTCCTTCCCTTAGGCCGCCTCTGAAACAGTGAGCGCCGTCCTTGTCCACACTCTGATGTCTTCTCCTTCTGGCAACAGCCCTGCAAGCCCCCAAGCATCACTCAGGCAAGCACCTGGGTTGTTCCTTCAAAGGTGTGCAGGAGAAATTGCTCAGCCGTGTGACTGCTGCCACTACAGTCACAGTGTCCAGTGTCTATCCCATCTACCTCAATGCCTAATGAAAGCACCCACCCACCCCCCACCCCCGCCCAAGGAGCGTGCCCTTTCCCACAAGGCTATCACAGACACGCACTCTCCCATCACCTTCCCACTTGATGGGGACAGGGCATCTCCTTCACCAAAATCAAACCAATTAAGCAAACCCACTGCTATTGAGTTGGTGCTGCCTCATGGCGCCCTTACAGGGCAGAGGAGAACTGCCGCTGTGAGTTTCTGAGACAGGAACAGAAAGCCCCATCTTTCCTAGTGGTTACACGTTGGGCTGGAACCCACATGGTTGGCAACTACTTCACAGGCGGCAGGAATTCCCTCAACTTCTCCTTCTCCTGCTCCGCAGATAAAATGAATACCAAGGCCTCCTTCCCACCTCCTCTTGTCTCAGTGCGGAGTGGCTGAAGACAGACCTCACCCTCCCTTCCACTTCCTTTGACCCTCTTTCTTTAACCTCTCCTCTGTCCCCAGACACCCATGAATTGGGTTCGGGACCTTCTCATTTTCCAATAAAACAAAAACTCCTGTCCTCTTCTGTTGCAGTTTTCACTGGCCGCTGGACTGGTCCTGACGCATCACGACCCTATCTACATACAACAGAATGGAACGTGCCCGAGCCTGCCCCAGCCTTACCGTCACCATTGCAGCCACTGTCCCAATCCATCTTGTTGAGGAGCTGCTTTGTCACCGACCCTCTACTTTACCGAGGGTGATACCCTCCCCTAACTATGACCGTATTTCTCACTGTCCTATTGCAGCTAAACTTCTGCGAAAAAGTAATGCCTCCACCTCTTCTTCCAAATTAACCCCAACCTGATTAAGCCTAGTTTCCACACCGACTGCCCAACTAAAGCGCATCACACAGCCAACACCCCTTGAACTTCCCTGCTTCCTTCGTGTGGCAGAGACTGTCCTAGCTGCGCATTCAAGAGCTACTGTTCCCCATTTCCTCACCCCAGTGCTCTGGCGAGGGACAATACACCAGGTGGACGAATGAGCCCATTCACCATGAGTGGTGATGATCAATGAGTAAAAGCAAAGGTCATCAGACAGGACTTTCAGGAGAGTTCTTTACAAAGGGCCAACCTAGCTGGGAGGTCGGCCTCTTGTGCCTTGTTCTCCTTCCTTAATGCTCCTTCCTCCTTCATTTTGCCTGGAATACGGAGGTGACAGCTAGACCTGCATCAGTCACTTTATAACCAGGGGCAACTTTGAGAATGAAAAACAAGTGCTAACAATAGAGAATGGAGCGATGGAGGAAGAACAGAGAGAAAGACAGCGCGGGACTATTGAGGACATGGTAGAACCACCTATAGCTCACACTCACTCACGGCCATCAAGTGGATGCCGAATCACAGTGACCCTATAGGGCAGGGTAGAACTGCCCCTGTGAGTTTCCGCACTGTTAACTCTTTAGGGGAGTAGAAAGTGTAGCTTTTCTCCCTCGAGTGGCAGGTGGATTTTTGAACTTCAGACCTTGTGGTTAGCAGCCCAACGTGTCGAGCACCAGAGCTTGACTCCAGGCTTCTTTTATTCGGTGCAAAATAAATCCCTTTCTCGTGTGAGCAACTGCTATCTTGAGACTCTGGGACAAACAGCCAAATGCAACATCTAGGTAAGACGTCTGGTTTTATGATACTCTTCTCCCTGGACTGATTCTCCTACTCTCCCTTAAGCACCTTCTCGCATCTACTCCTAAAGACGAGACTTCTAGAGCCATAGTTTTGGTTGTCTTCTGTTTCTGCTACATACGTTGCCCCTGTTGACCTCACCTGTTCACAGCTTGTACTGTGACATTATGAACTATGTTGATAACTGTTAAATCTGTATTTCTCACTCAGTTCTCTCTGGGAGATACAAGATACGATTCCTTGAACATTCAACAAGCATCTCAAATTTAAATATCTTTACTACTGAACTCATTATTTTCTCCACAGCTGCCCTTTCCCCTAAACACTTTATTCTAAATTGGTCTTCAATTATGTTCCAATTATGGATAAAGTCCTGCCAATTTACCTCTAATGTTTTTCAAGCCATCTCATCTTCTCCATTCCTACTGTCACCACTTCGCTCTTTCTAGGATTAGTACAAATCTCCTTCCTGTCTCCCTGCCTCTATTCTATTCTAGTTCTTCTGGCTCTTTTACGTTCTGCTTCCAGGGGTCTTTCCAAAATGTGTATCTGCTTTGGTCACCCTCCTATGGGACTTCTCACTGCTGCTCTGATTGTCAAATGTCATTGAGTGGCTCCTATAATGCCTGCATGTGCAATAGGACTTACAGTCTCTGGTCTAGCCTCATCTCTCTTCCCTCTCGGCTGTCACACTCCATGTGCTAAGCATAGCTCATGCAAAGTGGAATTCTCTGAATGGGCCATATTCTCTCACTTTCTGTTACTCTGTAATGCCCTTACCATAATGCTTAACTCCATTTTTTCCCTTCAAAATGAAGTTCAGCTGTCATCTCTGCCAGAAAGTCTTCCTTGATGCCCCAAATCTGGGTTAGCCTCTATCACTAATATTTATGCAAAGCAACATAATATTTTCTTTCCCTAAGAATGTGAACTTCTTGTTGGTTTTCATCTTCGTATCCTCATTGAATAAGCGGTTGCAGGGGCTATCAATATGAAATAAAACATGGTGTGCTATTCCAGAGGCATGCCACTACATTCATTTTCTTAGTATTATCGACAAGTGAAATGTCCTTACACAAAATAGGTGTTGTACTATAGCACTGTTTCCATTGGTCTGCTAATGTTCACAATTCTTTTCCGTTCTCCTCACTTACCACCCGGAACAGCAGTGATCCACCCTCTTAGCAGCAATCCCTTTGAGAGTGGGGATATCCTACATCTGGGGTAGTCTGTGTTTACGTATACCTCTAGTAGCCTATCCCTCTAATAATGTATTTCACAATAATGTGAAGTTTTAAAAAATTACGCTTACCTACAGTTTCAATGAGAATGACGTCATACCCTCCTCCTTCACATAACAGAATAGCTTCATTTGTGGTCCGTGTCACGCCTCCTAAGGTCCCTCGAGTAGGGGATGGCCTGATGTACGCATTCATATCTCTGGATAACTCAGTCATTCGGGTTTTATCGCCTAAGAGTGAGCCTAAAACACAGAGCTACAGTTTATAATCCTGGAAGAATTGAAAAGGCCGATCACTCACCAGTCAGTATCCAGTGACAGTGTTGATGGCAGTCCTCCTAAGGTCTTAGGAAGTTTTCCTTTCAACTTACATGGGACGATGAGGCCAGGTTCATCTGATCAACATGCTGTTGTTGGCAGGTGCTGTCAAGTCACTTCAAACTCAGAGGGAGCCATAGTGGTGTAGTGGCTACATGTCGGTCAGCAATTCGAAACCACCACTGGCTCCATGTGGCAAAGATGAGGCATTCTACCCCTGTAAACAGTTCCGGCTTTGGAAACCCCCAAGGGCAGTTCGCCCCTGTCCTACAGGGTGGCTAGTAGTCAGCAATGGCAGAGAGTGAGTGGCCCTGTGGACAGCGGAATACAACTCTTCAGTCCTGTTCCATCCTTACAACCATTGCTACGTGTGAGCCCACTGTTGCAGCCACTGGGCCAATAGATCTGGTTGCAGGCCTTTCTCTCTTTTGTTGACCCTCCTTCTCTTTACTAAGCTTAATGTCCCTTTGTTGGGACTGATCCTCCTGATAACATGGCCAAAGTACATGGGACAAAGTCTCATCATCCTCACTTCTAAGGAGCATTCTGGTTTTCTTCCAAAACATTCTTAGAATGTTAATTCTTCTGTCAGTCCATGTTATATTCGATATTCTTCATCAAGATCCTAATTCAAATGCATCAATTCTTAGCCCTCCTTAATCATTCATTATCTAGCTCTCAAGTGCATAAGAGAATGAAAATACCATGTCTTGGGTCAGGTACACGTAAGTCCTCCAAGTGATATTTTAAATTTTTAAACACTTGAAAGAGGTCTTTGGCAGCAGGTTCACCACATGCAATATATCAGTTGATTTCTTGACTCCTGCTAGCATGACCATTGATTGTGAATCCCAGTAAAATGAATAATTGGGAACTTCAACCTATCCTTTATTTATCATGATGTTTCTTATTGGCCATTTGTCATGAGAATTTTTGTTTTCTTTATGTAAAAATTGGATTTTGTGTCAACTTGCCTGGACCAGGATTCTCAGTTGTTTAGCCTAATAACCTCCAACCTATCATAACGTAGTCAAACTCATGATGGAATCTGCTGTGAGAAGTCACGTATTTGTAAGAAGAGTAGGATGGAGTGCAGCCTACTTATGTCATAGCCTAGATGCAATTGAAAGTTCCCTTGGGGTTGTGGCTTAATTCCTATATAAGTGGATGCTGTGGGGAAGCTTGCTGGCTTCTTGCTGGATCTAGATCTTGCATCTGACTCATCCACCTTCAGTTCTTTGAACGTGAGCCAATAGTTTGCCACATTGCTTGCCTACCCGGGGAGTCTTCAGTGGCCTGCCATTTGATTTGCCAAATTTGGATTGATTTACCTCTGCAGACACCAGCTGATCACCTTCCAGCTTATCTGGGGTTCAACAGCCTTGCTACATGAATCAGAAGTCTTCAGCCTAACATCTGACTCATGGATTTGGTACCTGCCCAGACTTAGACTTGACTACTTTTACAACTGTGGAGCCATTTTCATGATATCAATCTCTTTCTATAGAGACATGGGTAAGTATCCCTGGTTTTGCGTCTCTAGAGACCTCAACTTAACACAAGGCTGATCTTTATCAGTACGTGCTTGAAGTCACTTTCACTTGGAGCAAGCAAGGTTGTGGCATCTGCATACTGAAGGCTGTTAGTAAGTCTTCTTCCAATTATGAAGTAGTGTTCTTCATGCTCTCCAGCTTCTTGGATTACTTGCTCAGCATATAGATTGAATAAATATGGTGAAAGGCTACAATGTTGACACAGACCTTTCCGGTTTTTAAAACATGCAATATCCCCCTGTGGTCCATGGATAACCTCTTTTTTATCTATGTAAAGATTCCACAGGAGCACAATGAAGTGTTCTGGAATTCCTATTCTCTCCATGTTATCCACATTTGGTTGAAGGCTTTTGCAGGGTCAATAGTAACAGGTAATCATCTTTCTAGGGGGAGTTCCCAGCAGAAGGGCAGACGGGCTGACTGAGGTGAGCAGACTGACAGCACTAGGAGGAAAGCCTGTTACAACTAATACTCCCACAGGGCTGTTAAGAATTACTACTATGGATTGGATAAGGTCATCTAATGAAGCTCCACCGCCGAATCGCCATGACTCACAATTTGATGCTCAACTGTGGTTGCTACCAGAAGATGGCACTCTACTGTCCTCACAAAGTCAGTCTGAGGAGATGACCAAGTACCACACCGACAAGTACATCAAGTTCTTGTGCTCCATCTGCCTAGATAACATGTCCGGATATATCCCGCAGATGCAGAGATGTGATGCTAGGGAGGACCATCTATTCTCTGATGGCCTGTTTAAGGTCGGTCAGTTGTCCATTATGGCTTTGTGGCAAATGCTCTGAAGTTGCATAAGTAGCAGATGAGCCTCGATGTAAATTGGGTTGGGGGCCTGCACCATGCAGAAAAGTCCAAGACACCTGGGTTCTGTTACATCAGTGATACCGTCCTGGCCATCGTGGAATTGCTCAAGTATCACCAGAGGGTGCAGAATGTTGCATTGATATGCACCATGGGGATGGCGTGGAAGAGGCCCTCTATTCCAGAGATCAAGTCATGACTGTGTCCTTTTGTAAGTATGGAGAGTACTTACATAAGGGGACTTGCAGGATATTGGTACTAGCAAAGGCATGCATTCTGCTGCTAGGTTACCTACCTTCTCTGAGATGGGATCTATGATGAGCCCGATGAAGCCATCTCCAGGCTGGTTACATCCAAAGGTGTCCTAGCCTATGGCAGTCACCCTACATTGGCTGCAACTCCCTATCTGGGCATCTATTAGGTGCCCATCAAGGGACATGTCAAGTGTGGACAATCAGTGAGGAATTTCAACCTGCCGATGCTGGTACTGGGAGTGGGTGGCTACACCATTTGGAATGTCACGTGGTGACATGGGCTAGGCACATGAAACAGCTCTGGCCTGAGCCCAGATATCCCGAGCAAGCTTCCACAAAACAACTACTTTGAATTCTTTGACCTAGATCTCAAGCCTCACATAATTCTTTTCACTATGACCCAGCAGAACACTAATGAGAGCCTGGAGAAGATCACATGGAGACTCTGTGAGACTCCGGGAATGGTTCCCTGTGCTGTGGCGTCCCCATGCAGGTAGTTTCAGAGGAAAGTGATGATGAGAAGGAAGACGATCCTGACAAGCGCATCCCGACCTGTTCCTCTGACCAGCGAACTGCTTGGGAAGATTTCTCCGACTCTGGGCCAAAAGAAGTCTACCAACTTCAAAAAAGCCAAGAGTCAAAATAGAACAAGAAAAAGTGAAAGAAGGAAGTCACAGAAGAGAAAGAAGCCAAGGAGGAGAAGCCTGAAGCCAAAGCGGTCAAGGAGAAGGTCAAGTTGGCCTGAGCAGAACTCTCAAGCTCTGGCTTCTTGCTAAGTTCCGTACATTTCTTCCCTAACCCCCTCAGAGTTTGTATTTTCTATTTCTCTGTATAGTGATATAAAAATATATTAAATATCAATACTCCCAGGGACTCAACAGGAACTGGGGCCTTGAACCTGGCCCTGGGCAGCTTGGCTACAGGTAAACTTCCAGGAGCTGCCTTGCCATCTCAGCTGTTTGTTTTGGGGGGAAGGTCACAGGCCCAAATTCTGAAATGAGGGTACCTGCTTTGGAAAGGCACCCTTTACTGAGCATTCTGGGGTGGGGGGAGGGGGCCTTCAGGGACACCTTGTACTTTTTCTTCTGGTTCCGGAAGGGATCATCAACCTTTTTCAGATGTTTCTTTTTTCATAGCAGCCTTCACAATGCTGTGGCCTGGCCCTAATTGAGCCAACACACTCTCCCTGCCTGCCCTCTGCAGGGACCCCACTCTGCAGGTGGAAGGTGACAGCCTAGTTTCCTATGTCAGGTATTATCTTCACGTTTGCGAGAACTTTTGTAGGATAGTATATTTCTCTTTTAAAAAATCTTTCTAGCATTCTCTGCTTTTCTCTCCAGTATCCTCTGCTGTCGGCCAAGATCCAGCCAACATCAGCAACAAAGTCCCTCATTCTATATCCTTTTCTGAATCTAACTTGAATTTCTGGCGATTCTCTGTCCATATACTGCTGCAACCATTTTAGAATTACCTTCAGCAAGACTTTACTTGCATGTGTTATTAACTATGTTGTTTGAAAGTTTCCATATTCTCTTGGATCACCTTTGGAATGGGCACAAATATGGATTTCTTCTAGTTGCTTGGCCAAGTAGCTGTCCTACACATTTCTTGTCAAAATATACAGTGGCTTCCCACTGACCAGAGGTTCAAATCTAGAGCCTTCAGCCAAGCTCCCCAAACCCTTAGAACCCAGTGTAACCTTACCCATTCAATTTCAACTTCCACTAGTTCTAAACCAATCCACAGTGGGTTCGTTACTGTTAACAAGGTTACATTTACTTCTCCCACTTCTAGCTTGTTCTCTGATATCAGACTCATAATTCCTTCCTTCTTCTACTCCCAGCATTTGGATCCTGGTTCTACCAAGCCTCACTGTCCAATATGAGGTAAGCCATTTTACCTTGCTAAACTCCTACTTTGCTCAGCTACCTAACAAATGCCTAACAAATAATATGCCACTGGGAGAATTTACTGAGATTCTATAGACATTACTCAAAGTCTGTTAATAACAACAACACACATGGCTTATCTACTTTCCAAAGAGCAGTTACAGCTGCAGCTCCTTCATAAACTTTCTGAAACTTTTCAGTTTCAGTGAATTTCTACAGTACGACTGTTCTGTACTCTGCCAGCGGCCTGGGGTGTATGAGAAATCAAGTCCCCTTCTCTTTCTATAATCAGCACCCATCACTCTCTATTCCCTTATCTCTGGACATGGCATCTTCCCAGCCTCAGATAAAGTGTTAGGCAAATACATCTTTCAGGTGTCCCTTCCAAATAGGCTGTTGTCTATCAGCCCTTTAACAGTGGCCAGGAGTAACCTCCACCCAGGGCAACCTCATGTGTTCACCATAGAACTGTGCCCCTAGGATTTTCAATGGTTGAATCTGTCTAATTTAGAGGCAGCTCTGGGCACATTCTAACCATCAACCTTCAATTAGCAGCCAGGCTCATAATCATCTAAGCCATTCTAGGACTCCTCTAAGCCATTAAGCAAATTCAGTGCCATCGATTGATGCCAACTCATAGCAACCCTGTAGGGCAGGGTAGAATGGCACTTCCCACCTCAAAATTTTGGAGTCCGCATTACCTGCAATATGAACTGAGAATGGATAGAAAACATAGTGGTTCTCAACTGGCAGTGATTTTGCTTCCCAGGGGACACGTGTCAATGTGGAAAACGTCTGTAGTTGTCATAGTGGGGATTAGGGTGCTATTAGGTGCAAAAATTATAAAGAGGGGGTATTTATATGGTATGATTTATGTTTCCTTTAAATGGCCTTTGATTGGGGGGAGCAGAAAGACTAAGTTATATCCATGTTAGCTTTGATGTGCTGCAAATTAAACTTTGAGTGAATGCATGCCTTCAAATCTGTTAAGAACCACTGACCACTATGTGCAGTGTCCAATGCTAAGTGCTGTAGGGTAGACATCCATATGTTACCTGGTCCCATTAAGAGCGTTCAGTTTCATTGAACATGCAATGAGAGAAAGCTGTGTGACAGCCTATAAACAGTAGCAAGTTGCTTTTTTACATTCAGCAGAAGAGAAATTACAGCAGAGCAGAATACGGGATGAAAAAGAGCCCATTTCCTGAACTAAGTAGCTAAGTGATGTAGCTAAGACAGATACCAGGAGTGCCAAGAGGCCTGGTCTTAGGAGAGCTGAAAGGCTCGGGTTTGCATCCCATCACCTGCCACTTCTGGCCCCCAGTTCTCTCAGCATCCAGACTGTTCCTGGTCAACTCACAGCCTGCCTGCCCCTGTGAGACCAAGCTCCCAACCCTCTCCCTCAGGCTGGACCCAGCCCCACAGAAATACCTTCCTTTCAGGAAGGCTGCTCTGCTAGCAATTAGAGGCCACCTGGGTGGGTGACGTCTCACTACATTGTGGTAGACTTTCCACGCAGCCCAGCCTGCTCTGAACTTAAAAAGGCCCAGGGATACTCACCGCCACTAGTGCAAGAAGAAGGGTCCACAGCAAGCACAGACACTTTGTGCCCTCTCTCAGTAAGCATTTTCCCAAAATATTCTATAAATGTCGATTTTCCAGCACCCGGTGGCCCAGACAATCCTAAAATGGAAAAAGACCGAATTGAACACAATCCCTGAGATGAACACTATCAGGAGTTCCAGTGGCGGGAGGGGTGGACTATTAGACGCCCTGGGATTTCATTGACTGAATCAAAACCATTGAGGTAGTTTAGGGATTCCCATAGCCATAAGAAAAATCCACTTCTTTCCCTATAGAGTAACAGGGGTATTGCAGAAAGACAATTGAGTTCTGCATGTCCATAAACCCCATTTGAATCCTAAACTATGTTCTAGTTTTTTCTCCCATAGCGTAGATCTTTGGGGTTGAGTTCTGTGGTCTAAGCTGCTAAAGCCCTGAACTCCTACATCTGCCCAGCTCGTATTTCACCTAGCTCATCTGCTTGTTTTATCTTCCCATGAGAAAAACAATCCCTTTCTCCAGAAACTGCCAAGGATTTAGAAAGCAATTTCACATTCATAATGGATAGGCTTTCTCCCCTTATTTTACTCATACTGCAGGAAGTATTATGTCAGCTGAATCTGAAAGGAAAATCTGTCTAAAGAAAGGCAGAGAGTCCTCCATTTGGAAAGCGGATAGAGGGAGGCAGGAACGACCACGAAGCTGGGGCCGGCTCCTGCTCCGCACCAACCGTGCGCTCATGGGCAGGTTACAGACTGTACCCTCCTACCCTCCAGGAAAACGTTGCCATCACACCAGTATCTAGCTCTTGGGATGGTTGTTAGTATTAAATGATTTAATGCTTGCATTGTGTTTAGAACTGTGCATGGTATACACAGGGGGTTAAATTTTGTGTGTGAAAAAGACTTTTATCTTTTAATTCCTTTTTCCCTGAACTAATTGAACACCCCACCCCACCCCCGCATTACAGGCGCTACATAGTGTCTATTCAATTATTGATATCCAGGGGCATTAAGATGCAATTGGACTCAAAGCTTTTGCTTGAATCCTTACCTGCATTCCCATGTGAACTTTGTGGGAATAAGCACTTGTTGCTGTTGTTGATGACGGTGATCAAACAACGATAGTACAGACACAGGTTTACTGGGCTTCTTGAGACCAGCGTGGGAGAACCAGAACGGCACCAAAAATCGGTAAGCTACTAGTTATTTTGCGAGCTGCTAGTTAACACTAGATATTCCAGGCTATTTTCTCTTCAACGACTCCTTAGTACTAACTAAGTAAACAATAGTCATGACAAACATTTTTCTTTGGGGGTTTGTTATTCTGTCTGTCTCAATACACAGAGAATGAGTATGTGTGAGTGTGCGTGTGTCACTAAAAATACTGCCCCCAAAAGAGCTCCGGTGCCCATCATTGAGAGAACAGAATACGTGTGAAAGACGTGAATACTGGTCGATGGGTTACTTTTGCAATTCTCTTTCGATCATGTGTGCTCTGTTACCCTAAAAACTATAGGGTGTCAGTCCCTATATCACAAATAAAGCTGAAAGTCTAAGACAGCATGAGTCCATTTTTAAAGGTATTTACTCAGGCAACATACCCTTTCTACACTTTGCCTGCCATCGTTTGCAGACATCCTTCCCAGGAAGCTGGGTTCCAATGACTAAGTTCAGAAACATGAAAAACTCTCATTCTACGCCAAACAGACTGGGCTAAGTTCCCAAAGGTCAAACCTATGTAAAGCATTTTAAAATGCAGGATTTCAAGATGTCTAACAAAATGACTTGCAATTACAGAAACAAGTCAAGCGTTTCAAGAAATCACACGATGAGGCAATGTGTTCAGACAGGTGGGCAATAAATATTATCTCTCCTTTAAAATACATTTTGGTGCTGAGAGAGTTGGGTTGAGAGAAACTCCCAGAGAGCCTTACACTCAATGGAAAACATCTGTAGGAGGAGAGATGTGCCTTAGAAATGAAAGTCTTAGATAATGAAACAGCTAAGAGTGGAAGTCTGAGGGTGACACGGAGAAGGAGAGCTGATAAAACCACAAAAGCCAGGGAATCCACTTTAGACAATTAAGCAGAAACGACAAAAAAAAGCATGAGGAAATCAATGATCAGTTCTCCCTATGCATCTTTCCCTCCTGGGAACCTTAACAAGATCCTCACCACAAGAGAAAACAGCGTTCTGTTCAAATACAAAGCCTTGGTTCAAATGGTCATGGCATTTTTATACATAAGAAAATTAATATTTTATAAAGAAAAGGTACTTGAAGTATAGGCATTTGAAAAGGGGGAAAATCTCTACTAGATGGCAAATGAGTTATTTTTAAAGGTGAGACTATTTACAATATTTATTGGGCAGACAGAAGGGGGGGGGGGAAAGAGAGACTAACCCACTCGAAATGCCAGTGGCTTTCCTTTATTTAATTGCTCTTGTTCTCTGTGGTAGGCTAATACTTTCTGAAGAAGCACCTGGGCCAACTCCTTTTTCCTGCTGTGAGTTGACTCTACAAGAGTTATGGCCTCTGCTAAGCAAGCCCTTTGTCCAAGGATTAAACCAGTATGAAGTTTATCCACAAATGTTCTTTCTTTCTCAGAGAGCCCTTCCGCGTGCTCCTTGAAGGTTGCTTGTGTACATAATCTTCTCTCTGCACCATTTGACAGCAGCCCCCTCTTGGTACAGTGGAATCCAAGAGAACGAAACGGCTGAAGACGGGAGATTTCGGAGGTGAGAGGAGGACGGGAGGGGCAGATGCAGTGGTACCGTCGGAGCGGTGTTCTTAAAAGGCCTTTGGGGAGCTGCTGGGGAGAATGCTGTAGCAGTACAGGAATATTCATTTTCACTTCTTCCTAAAGAAAATACTGGAAGTTTCTGGTTTACTGTGAAGCGGGAACTCTCTAGAAGAAAGAAAAAGGATCTTTTTTTTTCTGGCAGTTCAACATACAACTAAGATACTTAAGAAGTAAAATTTAACTCTACATTTACTGAGACACATATAATCGAGATTCTTGGTAGTATAAGCAATAGTTCAGTAGGAAATCTTTCTTACTAAAGAGAGACTTCCTTTTCGCCACAGTTAATATTCAAAGTAACCCAAATCGTAGAACTAGAAAAATTATTGTCAAGGGCAATTTAAATGTTTTTCTGAACAAAAGAAACCCCAAAAACAAAAAACCCAAGTCCATTAGGATAGAAATATTATGCCGTGCCTATTTTATTATGTACAAAGACATTATATGCATCTTAACAGCTTCCTAAGTCCAAATCCAAACCCTCTGTCATTGAGTCGATTCCAACTCACAGTGGCCCCAAGGGACAGAGTAGCACTGCTTCAGTTTCCAAGATTGTAATGCCTCATCTTTCTCCCAAGAAGCACCAGGTAGGTTTGAACAGCTGACCTTGTGGTTTTCAGTCCTGAAATTCATACAAAGGATTAAAAAGATTTTTCCTCTGGTGTTGGCTTTATTCCTCTGCAAAAGACATGGGTGGACACCTGACGTACAAGTTTAGATACATGTATGTATTAACCTATTCATTCAGGAACACACAAAGAATGGCCTAGAATAAGCCAGCAAATGATAACCAGAAAAAGTCTCCATGTGAAGTGAGTAGTGGGGGTCGTATAGTCACTAGAATAATGATGTATTTCAAAGAATGGCAAGGACTACCTCAATACTTATTAAAATTGCACGTTCCCAGTCCCATATTTAGAATGTCAGTAGGTGAGCACACTAAAGTTTGAAGCCCTGCAGAATCAGACAAGGATCATTTTCTACGATGTCCTGACAGTCCCCACTTCTAATCATATTAGACATGCTAGCTGACTCGACGTGCCCACGGCACAGGGCAGAGGCTATGGACAGTGGCCACGATGTGTCTCTGTCACTGAGACCTGACAGCCTTGTGCACGTTGTTGACACACTTGGTGCCTGTTTCCACTTGAGTAAAAGGCAGATAGTAAGACTATTTCTAGTAGGGTTATTGTGAGAAGTAGATGAATTAATTCATACGAAATACTTTTAGTAGTACCTAAAACAACACATTCTCAACTCGGTAAAATTCTCTCATTACCAGTTTACAAAACAGTTCATAAATAGGCCACAAACATAGCTTCTAATGGTTAATGAAAATTCACAGACAAAATATACATATAGCATACCCAATTTGCATATATTATTATTTGTACATTTTGGTTTTCAAGTGTTTGATAGCTACAATAAAACCAATGACTTTATTTTTCCAGGTATCCCTCTAAATGGTACCTCAAGATCAACCAGCATTAGATCAATTTTAGCTAATAAGTACACTAATAGGGAAAAAGTAAAACTACCTTAATTTTTTTGTTATTAAAGCTTATCAATTTTCCAAGATAACTTTTTAACAACAGATTTGTTTTTGAACTGCGTAATTCGATTCATGCAAAATTAGTCTTATCCTAAAAAGATAATGTTATGTAAAAGGTTCTAGTTTTTTTCTTTTAAAAAAAAAATCTTAAAAATCCACACCTCCTAGCTCCAACAAACACACAAAGACCTTGTACACAAAATAATCCCAGGATGACCGCTTTTAAGAACATGCCTCTCCCATGGGCCTCATTACCACGTGCATCGCTTTAATGAATGCTCAGAGGCAAGAAATCATCCAACTTCTGTTTCCTGAGTGGATACCACTCTCCGGTCTCCTGCTGGGTGAAAAGACTAACAGTGATGGTGCTGACAGTACTGATGGTGGTGACACTAATACTTCATGCTCCAGCCACTGTTCTGTGCTAGTCTTCCAGGGCCGCTATAAGGCATTCCACAAACTTGGTGGCTTAAAACAAGAGACATTTATTCTCTCAGCTGTGGAGACCAGAATTTCAAGAATTAAGGGGTCAGCAGGGCCGTGCTCCCTCTGAAGGCTGTAGGAAGACCCATTCCCGGCCCCGCCCAGGTCCCCCTGTGACGTCAGGCTGTGTCACTGCAGTCTCCGCCCTGTCGGCACGTGGCCTTCTCCTCTTCTCTCTGTTTGTCCTCCGTGTGGAGTTGGAGCTCACTGGGGTAGTTCAGGGTGAAGTCATCTGGAGATCCACAACATAATTCCATCTGCAAAGGGCCCTTTCCAAATAAGAATATACTCACAGTCCCTGGGAATTAGAATATGGACATGTCTTTCTGTCTACTCATTAACCCACTGCATCTTCTTTGGTGGACTGCCTCATTATTTTATCCTGGTTAATACAATCCTGCCACTTCAAGAATTCACAGAATAATCCACACCATGTTTGGGAGAAGAACAGAAAGTGCTCTTGGAAGAGACAGGATTATAGGAGCTTAGTCTCCTTGTAGAGTGGGAGGGGCAATTTTCGGAAGAGCCAATATCTGGACTGGGTCTTAACAGCTACAAAAGTTGAAGAGGAACGAGGGAGGCTTTCTACGCTGAAGACTTAAAAGTCAGAGGTGGGTCTTGTTCTCTTCCCAGTCATATCAGAACAGACTGAGAAATTCTGTAAGGAAGAAGACTGGGCTATATGGCACTAGTGACCGGAGAGGAAGCTGGACCAGATGTATAAACTGAGGCCATATAATGGAGCCAAGAAGTTGAAGTTCATCTTGTTGGTAGTAAGGAAATGACACGAGACTTTGATGGGGAGGAGTGGCGGAATCAGCTTTGTCTTCCAGAAGAGAACTCAAGAAGTCACGAGTACTGTGACTCTTGTAACACAAGTTCCAGTTTAGGAATCACCAGCAAAAAGTCCAACAAGAGATGTGGACTTGGATTTAGGCAAGGCATTAGGAAAAGGGAAAAAAGAACCCAGATTCAAGACATGCCTGTCCATGTTCAACTACCCAAAGTGTGATAAGGGCCTGACCCAGTGTAATTGCTCAAGCAAAGCTGCTGACCTGAACTTATTTCATTTCTCACTTGAGTGGTACGCTAAAGTCTATAAACCACTTTCAAACACTATATACTCCACACAATTCTATGCAAGAAAGTGGGGCAGTAATTATTTTTCTTCTGTAAGAGGAAAAAAGTGAAAGAGAGGGAGGCTACCAGAGTCATAACCTAAAGCAGGGCAAAACTCACTGTGGGTATTTTGGCTACAGAATTTCTTCATGAAAAATTATTTCAGAATAAAATAGAAGTTCGTTGGTTAAAAAAGAAACATATTAGCAGCTCTTGTCGCCTCCCAAAGAAAGCAAGAAATATTTTCCACGTAGAGTGATAGTGGTGATAGTAAGAGGAGCTAAAGAAAAGAGGGGGAGGGAATGCTGACAAAGATATCGAACATCCCTATTATGGAATCTAGTCCTATGCGCCCCTAAGGGAGATGCTGCCATATGCAGTCCAAAAGATAATTAGGCTATTTAAAATATGCTCTTCAATTAACAAGGTTACCATGACTACCTTTTTGCCACCAAACAAGATATATTCCAAAAAAGAGCAAATTTATATATTAAAAAAGCTACACACACACATACAAACACACACAAAGAGAGGGTTTCAAAGAGCTTGTGGAAAAATGGAATTAAAAGCTAATTAAATTTTTCCACAAACTTTTTGAAGCCCCTTTGCATATTTATATAATCTCAAATGTTTGTTTTCTTCCTATCTTTCTCCTTAATTATTATATTATATAACATATTAACTTTAGATCACAATATTTAAGTTACGGAATCATGAAGCGAAATTGAACTTGACCAAAGGACTCTGGATCCTTTTCTGGGGAAATAGTACATTTTCAGTTGGACAAAGGCTCGTTGTTATCGTAGTACATAGAAGTGTGACTGTTATTTTCTTTATCTGGTGCTAAGACAAGGGGTTGGCTGTGATGGCTAATTTTATGTCAATTTAGCTAGGTTAGTTGGCCAAACACTAATCTAGATGTTGCTATGAGTGTATTTATATATTATTTACATCAAAATTACTTGAATTTAAGGAAAGTGTGGCTGGCCTTCCTCCAATCAACTGAAGGTCTTAAGAGCAAAACGGAGGCTTCAAAGGAGAAATGAAGGTTATAAATAGACATTCTGTGAAATTTCCAGCGCACCACCTGACCTATCAATTTCAGACATAAGATTGCTAGAGTTTCCAGTCTGTTAAGTGACCAATGGATTTTGGACTTGGCAGCCCCCACAAGTGTGTGAGCCAATCCCTCAAAATCAATCAATTTCCCCCTCTCTGAATGTGTCTCCCTATGTCTATCTATTTTAATAAAACATTTGATTAAATTTGTGTGGTTAGGAATCTCTACTAAAACATTCTGCCTTCTAAGTTTCTCGTTTTGAATCTAAGTACTTTGAGCACCCAATCTGCCTTCCCATTGAAAAGCAGAAAGGTAATTTGGTGAGGAACCAAAAACCCTGTGACATGAGCTTCAATGGGTGAAATCTATCCATTTAGAATATGCAAATTATACCCCTAAATAAATAAAACGACCTAATGAAAACGATTTACTCTCACATACAAAACAGCAAATTCTTAATTGCAGCCTTTCTCAGGGGGTCCATGCAAACCACCTGACAAGTTTATGGTTCATATTGCAGGCTTTATCACAATTTAAGATTGTGAAACTCTCTGCCCTTTGATGTCAATACAAATCTTAAAAGACTTTTAAATGAAAAGAGCTAAGAAATTAATACTACTTTTAATCCAGTCTTTTGCCCAAACCCCAAAGCTAGCCAGATGTATATAATTCTAGGTTTTGACATTTTACAGCTCTGCCTTGGGGCTACACTTGTGGGTGCCCTCAAGCCCTCTGCCCTGTACGAGTGGCAGGGTAGCGCTTTAGAATGCCTATTGTGGTGAGGAGCTTACTGTGCTTGCGTTTCCTTAGCTAATCCTCACAACAATCCTACAGCAGATGCTCCATTCCAGGTGAGGCTTGCCAACATTTGTTTGCTTGATTAAAGGCTCATAATTCATCACTTATAAATACTTTAAAAATTTTGATTTCACAACTCCAGATTCACGGCGCCAATTCTAGATTGTTATATATATACAAAATGAGGAACGGCGTTTTGGTGCATGGAATTAATATGGCCCTTCTAACCACAGCCTTTGCAACTCCTGGCAAATGACCAGGTCCGGCTATGTAAATGGAGGTGCTTATGGCCCACTAGGGGGACTTGGATGGCTTGTTAATAACAGAAATAAGATTCATGGTAACTTTGTGAGGGTGGGACCCTGCAAATAAGATGTCTGGTATCGTAATGTGGGGACTGGTCACTTTTGCCATCTTGCTAGCTTAGAATGAGATATCACATAGGTGGAAAGGGGGATCTCATCACCATCAATAAAGAAGCGCCAGGCAAGGTGCATGACCCTTGGACTTAAGATCCCTGCACTAAGCCTCCT